GTAGAGAGGGAACACTGGTCCAAGCCCCTAAGGAAAGAGCATCCCTGATATCTTAAAAAGCAAGGTCAAGTTCACCTGACTGATGGAACCCATGGGGAGGGTGATGGGCAAGGTCAGAAAGGTCACAGGGACTCAATGGAAAGGGTTTTGGCTTTCCTGAGCTAATAGGTCAACATGTTATCATAGAGGTAGCACATGGCGGTGCTTGGAGACTAAGAAACGAGGATGTGGGATGTGAGAAGCCTGTGAAGACATTTCATGTCAAGGTGCCCAGCACGAGTCAGAGATACATGAGTCAGAAGGATGATCCAGGACTGTAATCAGACATGTATGGATCCTCAGTACACAGCTGCTCCCTGGAGCCCGGGGCTGGATGAGAAAATTCAGGGAGTAGATGAGGGGGTAGGTGCAGAGGCTGGAAGACTGAGATCAGGAGCCCTCTAGTGGCCTAGGACTTAGGGAGAAACCAGAAAAGCAAACATTAAGGAGCGGACATTGAGGTGAGAAGAGAACAGAGAGTGACATCCTAGGACAAGGTGAAGAATATGCATCATAAAAAGCAGGGGCCAAGCACGGTGGCTCACACCTGTAATCCTAGCACTTTGGGAGGCCGAGGCAAGAGGATTGCCTGAGGTCAGGACCAGCCTGTTTGAGGCCAGCTTAAGCAAGAGTGAGACCTTATCTCTATAAGCCAGAGTAAGACCTTATCTCTATAAAATATAAGAAAAATTAACTGGGTATAGTGGTGCTCCCTTGTAGTCCCAGCTACTTGTAAGACTGAGGCAGGAGGTTCACCTGAGCCAAAGAGTTTAAGGTTGTAGTTAGCAATGATGAGGCCACTGCACTCTAGCCCAAGCAACAGAGTGAGACCCTGTTCAAAGAAAAAAAGAGAGAGAGAGAGAGAGACAACGTGGTTAGCTGTTTCAAACGTGCTGATCAGGTAACATGAGGAGTGGGAAATAACTATTGAATTTAGCAACATAGAGGTCATTAGTAATGTTGGTAAGAGTCTTAGGTGGAATGGTGGCAATGAACTTAAAATCTTTGTAGGAAATATATTCTATTCTCAGTGGCCTCTTCTGAAATCACAGGCTATATACACATTACTAATGAGAAAATTTCTAACATTTCACCCACATTTTAATTCTTCCTATATAAAAGCAGTCAGAATATATATCACAAAGAAATGAAAAACAAACATGTAAATAGATAATTGTACAAATGTATTTTTCCTATCACTACGTAATAGCTTTTACAGCTTTCGCAAGAATAAGTAGTAAGCCAAATGTAAATGAGTGCTTTATGGCTTCAAGATTAACAAATGTCACTGCCAAAATTAGGCCCAGTATTTGGTCCTTCGCTTTTTATTCCAAAATGATGACTTTGTTACTTAATAAGGAGACACATCACATGTAAAGTCTCAGAATCATCTAAATTCGTAACTAAAATACTTCCCACATTCCACAGCTGGCCATGTCTTTTGCATACATTTTAGGCTGTTGAAAGGCATCTAACCTTTCAAATGGACTTGCACCTGGAATATTAGAAAGATTTAGATCCATATAACATTCCCCTTGCAAAATGACATCATGAAGTCATTTGTATATGCGTACGTTTTTATTCAAATGAAATGCAAAGGAACTCAGAGGGCAAAATGCCACCACCCTTGTGTAGCTCCATTGTCTTAACATTTGTTCCACCAACATCCATCAGTGATAAAATACAGGAGGAGAAACAGAAGACAACAAATATATGCTTGTCTTTGACCTTTTTTATTCATTAGATAAGTATACATTATTTTTCAGAGTTATTTCTAAAACAATCCTTTCCTGGGGGATGAATGACTTAAAACCATGAATTTGCAACTGCCAACCAAACTCTCATCTTGACCACTAAGTTGGTTAACGTGATTAACCAGTTTTCTTTCAAGCTTGGGCTCTTCATTTCTCTGTCTTTTCCTGCCTGTGGGAGCTGCAGGCTTTTAGCCATAATTTTGCATTTTGTGAAATGTTAGACCAAGCACCTGTCACGGGATGAGCATGCCCGCTTGACTCAAGTGGAGAAATCCTGCCAGGAGGAGTAACACCTGCCTGAGGCCACTGGGATGTGCAGATCTCCCAGCTCTCTCACAGTTAAGGCTCTGTGAACTGAATCAGGAGCTCTAGGGTGCATTTTAGCCAGCCAAATGTAAATTCACATACAGATCGTGGTTCCACCTCCTTGCATCCTTCGTCCACTTTCTCCCCTCCAAATAAATTCTGGCACTCCATTACACAGAAGGGTGACTAGAGCTAGCAATAATGCATTATGTATTTCAGATATCTAGAAGAGAAGGTTTTGAATGTTCTCATAACAAAGAAATGATAACTGTCTAAGGTGATGGATATGCTAATTACCATGAGTTGATCATTACACAGTGTATACATGTATCAAAACATCACATGGTACCCCATAAATTTGTACAATTTATTATATGTCAATAAGAGAAAAAGAAAATCTTTCCTCCATGCCTAAGAGTAGATAGGTCCTTAACTGGACCAGAGGGGATATGAATTATCCTGCATGAAACTGGACGGTCAAATGGTTATTCATTTAACCCTTCAGTGAATATTTAAAGGAGCCCCTATGAAGGCCCAGGCACAGTTCCAGTGCTATGACAGAGGCCAAAACAGGTGAAAGTGTCCAGCCTCCTGGAACTTAAATTCTGTGTGGGGAGACGGGCAATCCATCATGCATGTGATAAGTAAAACATGTTATATGTGAGAGGTCATGAGTAATTCAGGAAAGAAAAAGGAGAGGAGGTGAGGGAGGCTGGGCTGAGGGCTTTCTTTAGGGCAGGCTGCAGCATTAAACAGCGTTAGTATTGCATCCTCCTGTTAATGGCCCATTTGCCACCTGATTTTTCTGTTGGGTCATGAGCACAGCCAGGGCTGAGACTCTAGCATGCCTGGGCCTGGCCCGAGCCTAGCTCACCATTAAGTCCTCGTGTAAGTATTTGGTTTCTGACCACTGCTTGTGTGTAGGGGCGACCTATGTTACAGCCTTACAATCTTCCTTAATGCATCTTCTAAAATATGGGTGTATATGTTTTTACCAGTTAGGGAATCATTTTGATATTAGAAAAAGTCACACAAACTTTCTATAAAACATTTTTTGTTGTTGTTTAGTAAAACACTTGCTAAATAAGACACTTCTCTGTATGCCTCCAATCTCACCTCTGCTCCCACTCTGGAGAAATTAGGGTTGAACAGGTACAGTTAGAGTTTTAGTGTGTCATGTATACTGTTTATAGTTATTTGGTTTTACCCAAAGAGCTTTGTAGAGAAAAAATTACATCCAAATGAAGTTCACAAAACCATTGGTAGATACATTTATCTTGCTAATTTGGAAAGCGGCCCCTGTATGATGGAATGATAGGATATCTCTCTGCCTTTCTCTAGCCTTTCAAAGACTTCCACAGAGTGAGAGGGTTTCTCAAGGTCTGAATGGGGACCTTTATTTTTCCAATGTCCTCCCAGAGGACACCCGGGAAGACTACATCTGTTACGCCAGATTTAATCATACTCAAACCATACAACAGAAGCAACCAATTTCTGTAAAAGTGATTTCAGGTAAGACTTCAGCTTCCTGAATCTTTCTGTGAATGATCTTTAAAGGGTTGGCCCTACTTAATGGGCACAATGTAGGGGTGTGTAGCACACCTTTTGGGTGCAGGACGCAACTACCAGAGGGACTCTACCTAACAAAGTCAAAATTGTGACCTGGTTGCTTGTACCCTCACATTAACCTGAAATTGATTAAGTAAATAAATAAATAAATAAAGTGTTGACATACACATTATAAAGAGCATGCATACCTAAGTAGTATAATTTATAGTTTTTGCTATTGTTACCATTACTGGTTCCATGAGAACCTTCTGAATCGGGTGGTGTTCTGAGCACTTATGTGTGCATGATGTCCCACAATGGCTTTTATGGTAGTCCTGCTTTTTACTGGTTGGGGGTGGCTAAGTGAATTAATGAGTTAATCATGTACAGTGTAAAGCAGTGCTTTTACTTGGTCGGGACGGCACTCGATCAGCACAGCTGTATACATTTGTTTTTGTTGCCCAATACTTTTTGACTCGACTCCCCTACTTTTGTGCCCTCTTCATAATATTCTGTTTATTTCAGTGGATGAATTGAATGACACTATAGCTGCTAATTTGAGTGACACTGAGTTTTATAGTGGTGAGTTATGGTGATTGTAACTGACATTCTCTCCTTCATTGTAGAACTTAGTTCACTAACTTCACCTCCATGGCTATATAACTTCTTTATGAAATTCCTGGTTTCATGTTTAACACCACTAATATAAATGTATGTCTCTTATGAGCTTTAGCTATAAATTTCAAGCATGTCACTAGAACATTTTCCATGATGTATGTATAACAGTGAAACTTGTTATAACTGTGTTCATGTAAAGAACCATTTCATGTGATTTGAAAAAAATCTTTCATGTATGTTCAGAACTATATTTCCTATTTTTTATTCTGTTCATAAACTTTTCTTGTGAACTAAATTAGAGTTGGCAGGGTGCTTTCACCTGCTAGAATACTGGCTCATCAGAGCCTTTAGCAACTAACATTAAGTGATTTTCCTAGTAAATCATCACATTGCCTATCTGTTTTTACATTACAGTGTCAATATAATTAGCAATAGCACTTTTCATGGTTTTGTTTTTAGAACCATGTCACTATCTTTAATGGAACTAGACTTTCTAAAAAATAGAGCATGAAACTTCACTCTTTTAAATAGAAATGAATTTTCTTTCCTTGAGGGAAATAATGGTTCTCATGTATAGACTCTATCAGTAGAAATAGTGAATTCCAGGTAGGGGGGGGTCCTCTTTAGTTATCTACAGGCAGAATATCTGCTGTATTAATTTTTTACCCTTAACATATAAAGTAAAACATATTAAGATATCACCAGTGACTAGGACCCTAGACATACCACAACTCCTGGGTTATTTTATTTTTATTTTAATACACTCCTGAAAATTATGGTCTTTAAGACCATTCCCAAAGTGATTTTAGAGGAGTGAATGTTCTCCCCTAGTCTCTAAATTTTTAAGAAAACTTATTTCTCTCAAGTAATATAATACCTTTTCTGGTATTCAGGGATTTTTCCTTCGGAGAAATAAGGGTAATTCATATACTACCTTTTTATTCAGTTTTAGTGAGCATCAAATTGATAATGCATTGAAGTGTTGAAAAATTTCAAGGGCTGTAGAACCTTAAGATGGTGTAATTTCCACATTAAGTTTTTCTGAGAATCCTTCAGACGATAAGGCTACATTTTGAAAAAGTCTCCATAAATAAGAAGGTACCCTAGATGAAGATCTCTGACTTGAACCTTCTCTATTTTTCTATTAAGGAAAGTGATTTTAATTTAACAACTGATTTCTATTTTAATAATTTACACTATTATTCTTAATTTATAGTATAGAATTTACAAGACTTCTCTCAGTAACTCTCTAGTTTGGTTTTGCTTTTTTCCATAAACCTTGCAGTTTGGGGATCTTAATATGATTAATCAGTGGATTTGGCTATAATGCCCCCAGCAAAACTAAAATACCCCTACCATAACCATATCTTTCTGAAAATCCTAACATCTTTCACAAGACAATTAATTTTTGCTTCCACCTGAGCACTAATCATAAAGGAAATGTAGTTGACAGCATGATTTTCTTCTCCACATCAACATGTTGGGGATTAAGTATTCCACAGAAAATTTATAAAAACTTAACCCAAATTAAGAAAATATACAAAAGGGAAAACAATTTTTATTATTTGGGCTTATACAACCATAATTGTTTCTATCCTGGGTAACTGAGTAAGTAATGGCTCTTTGTAAGGCAGAGAGCGTATCTGTTTAGCTTAGCAAATTTTACAATTAATGTTAAATAGTTTTGAAAAGGGATTAGAATTTCAGGCAGCTTCTTTTTTTTTATGTGACACAGTGGATTGTGTTTCCAGAAATACATATTCATAAGTTTTAATGCATATTGATTTTCTTGTTTGCAGCTAAATCAAGTAGAGAGAGGCCACCAACTTTTTTAACTCCAGAAGGCAATGCAAGTAACAAAGAGGAATTAAGAGGAAATGTGCTTTCACTAGAGTGCATTGCAGAAGGATTGTGAGTTAACACTTTCTTTCCTGATGTACATTTCTTATAAAAGTATGGTAGGTTGGTAGAGAGGCATTAATATCATAGGAAGAGTAATTCTAATTGCCTCATACTAATTCTATCAAGCAAAAAATATAGTAATGCTCTCCAAAGTTGACTATGTGAATCTCATATTATTGTTAAACTGTTTTGTTAATGTAATAGTGTTCATGTTGAAATAATCACCTATTATTATAATAAGGATGTATCATTTTTCTATTTGGTAACAAATCACCTCAAAACTTAGTGGTTTAAAAATAATTGCTATTTATCATTGATTCCTTGTCAGAGGTCTGCAGGGTAGTAGAGCTGTACCCAGCTTGGTTCAGCTAAATGCAATGAATGAAACATGCTCCGACATCTGTGAGGTGGCTCATTGGTCAGTTCACGCCTCTTAGGGCCTGTTGTCTATTCTTTGGGGGATCTGTGCTGTTGGCCATGAGTTTCTCACATCCCTCCAGCCATCTCATCACATACGAGGCCTCTTGGCATCAGACTAGCACGTTGTCTCTTCCACAGTTTCCTATCAGCAGGTCATAAGGCTAAGCCCAGATTCTTTGAACTGCTTCATCTGTGCACATCTCAAAATTGAAGCCATCCCAGAACTGATGTGCCTTTGACATAGGTTGCATGGAGGGCTAGCCCAGATTCAAGAGCAACTATTATGTTAGTCCACATTACAGTCAAGTTTCTATATAGATCTCCCACTCATGCCTGGCACAGAGCAGGTACCATTGGTATGGGTACATCTGCTGAAATCCTGGAATGGAATCTCACGAATATGCCGCCTTCACGTGTTGTGATCCCTGCTGCCCTTGACATGGTGACTTACTGTTCTCAGCTTACTTCTTGAATCCAGGAATAAATTTCCTTCAGGAGGCACATGGAGGCCTCTGCTGGTCAAATCAGGAAATCACGCTGTACTATACTCCGCTCTTAAAGCAACTGAAAACCAACAAAACCCTCCTTTAAATACGAGTTAAAAATCCATCCTTTCTGCCAGAATTAAAAAACAAACAAACGAAAACTTCCAATTTTCATCATCATTGCATAAGAAAGTAGTTTAATCTGCCAAACTCTAACTTTGGGGGGGAGGGTGGGTAGAAGTACCTACTCTCACAATTTAGTGACTTCTTTTCCACAATGAGATGTAAAAAACTAAAATATGATTGGTATTTAGAAATTTCACAAAACTCCCAAAGGAATTTTAAAAACTTTGGGATGTTGTAAAATCAAGATTGAGACTCTATTATTTATAAACCAGCAACCATTGGACAGATAGACTCAAGTTATTTCTAATTTTTAACAACTGTACAGTAGGATAGTAGGCATCCGAGGCCATTCATGGCTTTGTGAGGTTTAAACTATGATATTGTCCTTCTATTTTCATTTCCCTCTCACCTTCAAGTCATATGAGATGCAGATTAGTCTGACTATAAGGAAACATCAAACTACATTATGAGATTCCACAGGTATATACTACATAGTATTTCAGTTTTGCAAAATGATTTCACATCCTCTACATTTTTTATATTTATAGCATGTTTTAATTTTAGAATCTATTTCATTAGATATATATGCTCACTTATTTTTATTAAACTGAACAAGCCAAAAACAATTTTACAATCAATTAATCCCATATACATTTCTGTTGACAAATATTGTGATTTTCCTGCAGGCCTGAACTGTGCTTTTTTCATCAGTATCTTCTCAATACACAGCTTGGTGCTTGGCACATAGTTCAGTGCTTAGGAAATGTTTGTGTTGAACAGATTTTTATTTTACCCTCATGAAAACCTTCTAAAGTCATTAGATTAAGTCAAGTATTATTATCCCAATGAAAGCAACTAAGGAAACTAAAGCCCAAAGAGACCAGAGATCCAAGATTAGAGAGAAATTTAGAGAGAGGGATGGAATTTGAGGAAAGTCTTTTAATCCCAAGCCTGTATTCTGACTTTTCATATGTCTCTATAGTTCATGACTTAATAAGAAACAGAGTTGAGTGAGAAATGGTATGAGTAACACATGAGCTATTCTTATCAATTAATAGTCTTAAATGTCACCAACAATGAAACTAACAAATGCTATTCCCCTAATCACTTAATTCACATCATCACATAGCCTGTTATACAATACAATAGAAAGGTTCTTCCATTCAAAATGGAAATGTATATAAAAGTTCATGGGGAGGGGGAAGGAAGATGGCTGACTAGAGACAGCTTTCACCAGAGGCTCCTGTCCAGAGGGAGACATACTAGACAGAAGAGGACTCTGAAGTCAGAAGTGGGAAGCTGAGTTAAGAAAGAAGATAGACAAGTGCACATCGTCTCTGCTGAGGGAAGCTGAGACTCCAAGGAAAGAGGATCCAAGAAAACAAATTCCAGGTACAAAGTCCCATCACTCCCTCAAGTGAGTGCCTCAATGTGGGCTCTCTGTAAGAAAGTAGGGAACAAAAGACCTCTCATTTTACAGCACAGGAGAGGGCCACTAAACACAGAGCCTCCTTCTCCAGGGAGGTCCTACTTGTGAGCGTAGGCAGGTGTTTGGTGTACTTTCAGTGCCAAATTCCTTTGGTGGTCATCCTTCCCAGCATAAAACAAAACAAATATTTTCCCTGCAATTCTGAACTACCAGAACATCCTTACCCTCTTGCCTCATGGTCTGAAGGTGTGCTCCCTAAAGATCTCAGAGTGTTTGGCAATTCCCTGACACTACATATTTGTCAAGGGAAACACTCAACATGAAGAGATTTCAATAATTAACATTTATGTGCCCTACCTGAATGCTCTTTAATTTATTAAAAAAAAAAAAACCCTAATGGATGTGATATCTTCCTGCACTGTAATAGTTGGATTTTAACACCCCTTTGTCAGTTCTGGATAGATCCTCCAAGAAGAAACTAAACAGGCTCAGCGCCTATAGCTCAACCGGCTAAGGCGCCAGCCACGTACACCTAAGGTGGCAGGTTCAAATCCCCAGCCCGGACCCACCAAACAACAATGACGGCTGCAACCAAAAAATAGCCAGGCATTGTGGCGGGCGCCTGTGATCCCAGCTACTTGGGAGGCGGAGGCAGGAGACTCACTTGAGCCCAGGAGTTGGAGGTTGCTGTGAGCTGTAATGCCACGGCACTCTACCCAGGGGGACAGCTTGAGGCTCTGTCTAAAAAAAAAAAAAAAGAAAAAAACTAAAAAAAGAAATAATGCACTTAAACTTGACCCTAAAACAAATGGACTTAACAGACATCTACAAAATAGTTCATCCTAATAAAACTGAATATACATTCTTCTCATTAGCCCATGGATTATCTTCCAAAATTGATCGTATCTTAGGACACAAGTCTAAACTCAGCAAATTTAAAAGAATGGAAATTATTCCTTGTATCTTCTCAGACCACCATGGAATAAAAGTTGAACTCAACAGCAACGGGAATCTTCACACTCAATCTAAGCTTTGGAAACTAAATAACCTTATGCTGAACAGTAGCTGGGTCAAAGATAAGATTAAGAGGGAAATCACTAAATTTTTTGAACAAAATGACAGTGACGACACAAATTATCAAAACCTGTGGGATAATGCAAAGGCAGTCCAAGAGGGAAATTTATAGCATTGGAACCCTTCACCAAGAAAACAGGAAGAGAGGAAGTCAACAACTTAATGGGTCATCTCAAACCACTGAGAAAAGAAGAACATTCCAACCCCAAACCCAGCAAAAGAAATAACCAAAATTAGAGCAGAATTAAATGAAAATTGAAAATAAAATAATCATTCAGAAGATCAATGAAACAATAAGTTGGTTCTTTGAAAAGATTAATAATATTGATAAACTTTTGGCTAGCCTAACCATAAACAGAAAAGTAAAATCACTAATAACTTCAATCAGAAATGATAAAGGAGAAATAACAACAGATGCCACAGAAATTTAAAAAAAAAATCCTCAGTGATTACTACAAAAAACTCTATTCTCAGAAATATGAAAATCTGGAGGAAATGGACCAATACCTGAACACATGCCACCTTTCTTGGCTCAACCCAAAAGAATTAGAAATTTTGAACAGAAAACAAAAAAAAAAAGAAAGAAATTTTGAACAGATCTATATCAAGCACTGAAATAGGATCAACTATACAAAATCTTTCAAAAAAGAAAAGTCTGGGGCCAGATAACTTTACATCAGAATTCTACCAAACCTTCAAATAGGAACTAGCACCTATATTACATAACCTTTTCCAAAACATAGAAAAAGAAGGAATCTTCCCCAACACATTCTATGAAGCAAATATCACCTTGATCCCCAAACCAAGAAAGGACCCAACAAAGAAAGCAAACTATAGATTAATATCATAAATGAATAGTGATGCAAAAGTACTCAATAAGATCCTAGCTAATAGAATTCAATGGCACATCAAAAAATTTATACACCACAATCAATTTGGTTTTATCCCAGGGTTACAAGGTTGGTTCAACATACGTAAATCTACAAATATAATGCACCACATGAATAAAATAAAAAACAAAGACCATATGATTCTATCAATTGATGCAGGAAAAGCTTTTGATAATATCCAGCATCCTTTTATGACTAGAACGCTTAAGAAAATAGGCTTAGACGGGACATTTTTTAAACTGATAGAAGCCATCTATAGCAAACCCACAGCCAATATCATATTGAATGGAGTAAAATTGAAAATATTTCCATGGGTGGTGCCTGTGGCTCAAAGGAGTAGGATGTTGGCCCCATATGCTGGAGGTGGCAGGTTCAAACCCAGCCCTGGCCAAAAACTGCAAAAAAAAAATTTTTTTTTAAAAGAAAAAAAATTGAAAACATTTCCACTCAGATCTAAAACTAGACAAGGATGCCCATTATCTCCACAGGTATTCAACATAGTAATGGAAGTCCTAGCCATTGCAATCAGGCAAGAGGAGGGGATCAAGAGTATTCCAATGAGGTCAGAAGAGATCAAACTCTCACTTATCATGGATGATATGATCTTATAACTGGAAAACCCCAAGGACTCAACTACAAAGCTCTAATAAGTGATCCAGGAAGATACAACAATAGTCAGGCCAAAAATATAATCAAAGACTCTATTCCTTTTACAGTAGTGTCAAAAGAAGATGAAATACCCGGCAATTTATCTAACAAAGGACACAAAAGATCTCTATAATGAGAATTAAGAAATCCTAAGAAAAGAAATAGCTAATGATGTTAACAAATATAAAAACATATGCTCATGGCTGAGAAGAATCAACATTGTTAAAAATGTCCATACTACCCAAAGCAATCTGCAGATTTAATGCAATCCTTATCAAAACACCAATGTCATACGTTAAAGAACTTGAAAAAATAGTACTTCATTTTATATGGAATCAGAAAAAATCTCAAATAGCCAATACATTACTTAGAAATAAAAACAAATCAAGAAGTATTTCAAATAGTATATAAACCAGCACATTGCACCCCATAAATGCATTAATGTACACAGCTATGATTTAACATAAAAAAAAAAAAGAAGAAGCAGCATCACATTACCAGACTTCAGGTTATACGATAAATCTACAGTGATCAAAACAGCATGTTACTGGCACAAAAACAGAGATACAGATATATGGAACAGAATAGAGAATTTAGAGATGAACCCAGCCACATGTCATTATTTGATCTTTGATAAGCCTAACAAAAACATACATTGGGTCAAAAACTCCCTGTTTAACAAATGGTGCTGGGAGCTGGCTAGCAATGTGTAGAAGACTGAAACTGGACTGTCAACTTTCACCATTAACAAAAATTGATTCTCATTGGATAAAAGATTTAAATTTAAGATATGAGACTATAAAAATCTTAGAAGACAGTGCAGAGAAAACACTTGAAGATATTGGCCTAGGAAAATATTATATGAGGAGGACACCCCCACCCCTGGCATTTGAAGCAATACCAAAAATATATTACTAGTATCTGATCAAACTAAGAATCTTTTGCACAGCTAAGGGCCCTGTAAATAAAGCCAACAGACAGCCTTTAGAATGGGAGAAGATTTTTACATGTTATTATTCTGACAAAGGTCTGATCACTACAATCTATAGAGAACTCAAATTAATCAGTAAGAATAGAATAAACAACCCCATTTCTTTGTGGATAAGAGATTTGAACAGAAACTTCTCTGAAGATGACAGGTGAATGGCCAACTAACACATGAAAAAATGATCATCATCTTCAATCATCAGAAAAATGCAAATCAAAACCACTTTGAGATATCACTGAACTTCAGTGAGATTAGCCCACATCACAAAATCCCAAAACTGAAGATGTTGGTATGGATATGGAGAAAAGAGAACACTTCTACACTGCTGGTGGGATTGCAAACTAATACAGCCTTTTTGGAAAGCACTATGGAGAATTCTCAAGGAATTAAAAGTTGACCTACTGTTTGATCCTGCAATTCCATTACTAGGTATCTACTCAGATGAACAAAAATCATTTTACAAATAAGACATTTGCACAAGAATGTTTATTGTAGCCCAATTCATAATTGCCAAGTCATAGAAGCAGCCCAAATGCTCATCAACCCATGAATGGATTAACAAATTGTGGTAGATGTATACCACTATGCAGCCATAAAAAAGATGGAGCCGTTACATCTCTTATGTTTATCTGGATGGAGTAGGAACATATTCTTCTCAGTAAAGTATCTGAAGAATGGGGGAAAAGTATCCAACATACTCAATACTATTATGGAACCTATATATAATCACTTACACATTCATACAAATGATAGAACACCAATATAGTCAAAAAAAAAAAAGGAGGAGAGAGGAAGGAGAAGGCAGGAGAGAGGGTAAGGTAAAGTGGAGGGAAGGTATTTGATAGGATCTCACCGAACATGCACACTGCAAGGGTACATTTTAAAACAACTCAGAGTATATTATAAATGTCTTTCCATAAAAAAATAAGTAAGTGAGGTGATGGTTATGTTAATCAGTTTGATTTAAGCATTCCACATTGTATATCAAATCATCACCTGTACCCCATAAATGTATACAGTTATGATTTAATAAAAATTAAATTTAAAAAACTTCATGGGCAGAGATATGTTTATTAGCTTTTTGTTTATTTTAAATTCTAACTGATAAAAAATTCTAACTCAGTATTATTAATGAAATGGTAATCCTTTTGATTGATATAGTACCTTTGTAAAAAATTTCCGGAAATTCATCATTGGTCAGAACTCTTAGGCCACTTCAGTAAAGAAATTCATGTTAGCATTCACACTACATCACTGAAGTCAGAGTTTATGGTATGCCATAAATTAGCATAGTCCTGATTATGTGAAAGTTTAAAACTTTGAGCATTATTTGTAAAAGGGTGATGCTAATTAAAATATCTATAAAATCTGTCATATTTCTCATGATCTTTATATAAAGATTTCTTATAAGCCTACATGAAAATTCACCTTCAAAAGCAATCACAGGTGGACTTATTTCTTTCTAACATCATCATTTATTTATCCTATCAGGCCTACCCCAATTATTCACTGGATAAAAGAAGATGGAACACTACCTGTCAACCGGATGTCTTATAAGAACTTTAAGAAAACTTTGCAGATCACTCATGTTTCAGAAGCAGACTCTGGAAATTACCAGTGTATAGCAAAAAATGCATTAGGAGCCATCCATCATACCATTTCTGTTACAGTTAAAGGTATATCTTTACTTAAAATATACTCCTCTTGCCTTTATGAGAAATCAAGAAACTTCAATTAAACATGCCTTTCACCATGTTCTTTGGTAATGATAAATGTAAATTTATATCAACATTTATGGTACCTTGAATCTCTTCTCATTGCTATTCATCTAAATCAAGTTCATCTAAATCAGGTTAAAATTTTACTTCTTAAAATCTTCCTCACAGAAGAATTCCAATTAATAAATGTAAAACAAAGGAGAGAAATAGAATCTCACTATTAAAATCATACAGTAATAACTGCTATGTGTAAGATCCATCGATGAATATTAAAATTAGTGAGTGAAACTTTAAGGGGAAACAGAATATTTCCATAGCTTCAAAATGTTTCTCTCCCCTCCCCACACACACAATGTTAATTACTTAGGCAGTTTTAAGTTCACAATTTTTTTTTATTGTTGGAGTCATTAAAGGTACAAGAAACCAGGTTACACTGATT